TTGTGGCCGATCTCCCAGAGTGCCCATGCTGCCCTCTCGCCATGCACCCCTGCTCTAGTTTCTTTCTGTATCACCAGCATGCCAAGCTCATTTGGACTTCCGGAGCTTTGTCCTGATCCTCCCCACCGTGTAGGGCACCCTTTCTACCTAGGCCTTCTCATAACTCAAATGTCACCTCTCTGGAGGGGCTTTCCCTGACCTCCAGCCCCTGTCCCTCACTCTCTGTCTCATATGGCCCTGTTTTCTTTCTGAATAGCATACGTAACTTATCGGAAGCATTCTTGTTTTGATTTTATTACCTTCTCAGATAGGAGCTTCATGGGAGTGGGGACCAGGATCGAACTCTTGTCCTCCACAGCAGTATGGCCGGCTGTAATGCTGGCGCCCGGTGGCCATATCTCAAGGCAAGATGCTTGTTCTTGAAGCGCTCCTGGGCAGTCAGGAACTGCACAGAGCAGCAGATGGTCACTGCTGCCATGCCTTTGCTCAGGTGTGCAAGCCAGAAAGTTGTAACCCTCCCTCTCCACCAGGAAAATGCTGTTTTGACCTTCCAGGTCTGACTGCGTGTGGAGTTACTCAGAATTCCTCGTCCAGTCTCGTCGGTCCCCAACGTCTCCCCAAGTCCCATCCTTTCTCCCGCTCCTTCTCTGTGGACTATACATGTGCATCTCTGCTGGCACTGTTTTGTTTTTGTTTTTAAAGATTTGTTTAATTATTTGAAAGGCAGAGTTAGAGAGAGATCTTCCACCTGCTGGTTCACTCCCCAGATGGTTGCAACAACTGGGGCTGAGCCAGGCTGAAACCAGCAGCTTCTTCCAGGTCTCCCACATTGGTGCAGGGGTCTAAGGGCTTGAGCCAGCCGCTGCTGCCTTCCCAGGCTACTCGCAGGGAGCTAGATCAGAAGTGGAGCAGCGAGGACTCCAACCCAGGCCATGGCTTAACCCGTTCTGCCATAGCACTGGCCCCTGTGTTGTTGCTGTTAACTTCTGTTGAGTGCTTGTTTTCTGTGCATTATCCCATTTAATTTCTAGATGTCGCAAATGAATTTTGAGGAAACTTTGACGTAAAGGGACCTAGAAGTGGCCAAGCGGCCTGTGGCTCTGCAGAATCCAGGTCTGCCTCCCTCCAAAAGACACGCCCTTAATCACTGTGCCTAGCTCTGAGTGAGCACTGAGGGAGTGTGTGGGAAGACACGTGTGGCAAGGTGCACAGAGGATGCACCAGAGGGCAAGAGGCCAGCGAGGCGGCCGCTGCTGTAACTTAGGGTGAGTTAATGACCTCTGGAGGTGGTTATTTAAATTTGAAGTCGGTGAGCTCTTAGAGGGAGAGATAATAGAGGAAGATGAGGAAGCTTTAGGGAAAGCCCCATGCTTTGGCCTGGAACTGGGGCCATCTCGTAGCTTCACAGCTCTCCTGGTCACCACGCTAGGAACCAGGCAGAAGGAAATGCTGGCGGAGCAAGCTGGAGAGATTGGAACCCTCAGAATTGAGCCAAATGGTGCTGGGAACTGAAGAGACGTTCAGGGAGGGAGCAAGTGGCACAGGGAACCCAAGTGACTGTGGGCAATCCCCAAGGCTTTTATGAGCACCAGGCCTGCCCAGAGTGAACAGTTCTGTAGAACTCTTCAGAACAGCAAGTGCTGGTAGAGGGCTGAAAGCCACACCCCATGTAAGGCTGAAGGAGACCTGGACTCCAGTGCACTTGTTGGAGCTCGGCAAGTATTTGCTGAATGAATGAGTGAACGGATGTGGAAAATGGGACAGCTCTTCTGAGGCTTATGGTCATGTTGTGGTAGTTCGTAAATATTTGTCCAATGTTAAGGAGTGAAAGTATTAACCAGACATGGCAGCCTGTCCGCACACGGCTTAGCAATGTGTGATCCCTAGCCTCCCTGGCCTCTGCCAGCACACACTGAGTGTTCTTCCCGGACGGGAGGACTGGGGAGCTGAGGGCGTCCTATTCCCCTGGTTTCACCGGCTGTGCTGGGGGGCTTCACCGGAGCCAGGGGGGCTGACCTGCCCAGCAGAGACCTGAGCAGGAACAGGTGGATAGTGCACACACAGTTGTCCTAGCTCATGGTTTGCCTCGTCAGGGTAGACAGGGGTCACAGTAGGAATCGGGGTGCAGTAAAGCTGCTGTATGTGTTCTAAATGTGCCGCCAGGTAGCAGGAGCAGTTCTTAGGCCATGGGTGGTTTCCCACAAGGTGTAGCAGTACGTTTGCTCTGCTGGTGGGGGTTAGGAAGTCATGATATATGTCCAGTGTTAGTTTTCTAGCATATTCCCACTGATTGGCTTACACAATGCACATTCCTCGTCTCCCAGTCAGAAGTCTGACTCAGGTCTTTCTGGGGGTTTGCTTTGCTTTCCATCTTTTAGAGACAGCCTGCATCGCTTGGCTCACAATTCCCTGCCTCTGCCTTTCCTCTCTCTCTCCAGAGCCAGGAACTTAGCATCTCCCGGGTCTTGCACGTGTCCTCCCCTGCCTCTGCTCCCATTTTTGAGGGTCCTTGTGATTACATAGAGATTATTACACGGCGTTGACGAAATCCAGGATAATCTCTTTATTGTAAGATAGTGACTAGCAAATTTACTTCCCTCTGCAACCTTAATTCCCCTTTGCCTGCAGGGTGACACACTCAAATTGTTGCAGGGTTAGGGTGTGTGTCGCTTTAGGGGACCACCGTTCTCTCCATCAGTGATCTGTACTGCGGAGGAGTGGATCCTGGTGGGGGTCCCTGGGATTTTAGGTCCCTCGCAGGCTGCTGAGGGGTGGGGATGGGCAGCTCATGGCCCTGGAGGAGAGGCGGTGTGGGCACGAGTTCTCGTGGAGTCTTTATTTCTTCCCCTGGGTGTCTACATTCAGGAAGTAATTGAGGGCATCAGAAAGTTAGGGTTCTGTGGGTCAGGTTTGGGGGCTCTGCTGGATGGAGAGGAAGATGGAAACGAATAAGGAGATGGAGGAAGGGCACTTCAGAGCACAAGGTTCTAGAACACTGAGGATTTGAGCAGATGAGGGTATGGACCTTGAGCTATTTTCACTGCAGGCATTAATCCAAGATTACGTCACCTGAGCTCTCCAGAAATGACCGGGTTCTTGGATTTTGCAGTATTAGCATGTGATGTTAGTAGGAGCACAGCCAGGCTTGAGTTAGAATTCTTCCGATGAACTCTTGTGAGATTTTGCCCAGTCTTGATTTAAGGCTGTTTTGAGGATATGTAAATACATTGCTAGGCATATAGTGAGTGTCCAACAGCAAATATTTGTTGGTACTACTGTACTGGTTGTATTGACTTGGTTTGCTGATTAGAAACCCTGGAAATCATCTCTGTATTTATTGATTTAAAAATGGTCAAATGGGGCAGGTGTTTGGCCTTGTGGTTAAACTTAAATAACCGAGTCCTTGCCACTCAGGTGGGAGACCTGGATTGAGCTCCTAGCCCTCAGCTTTGGCCTGGCTCTGGCCTGGCTGTTGGGGGTATCTGGGGTATAACTCAGTGGTAGGGGCACGGGTTCTCTCTCTCAAACAAGTAATTTTTAAAAAACCCATATTTCAAATGTGGCTAAAAGTGCCAGAACTCAGTAAACATTAACCTCTTTATTTTTGGTTCTGGTGGGGATGGAGATATGGGGAATGGGAGGGCTTTATAGAAAATCTCTGAGAACATTGAATTTTTTGGGAAATAAATGAAAGAGATCCTTGAGGTAAGACATCAGAGAGACTGCAGGAAACGAGGCGGGATTCAGCTATGCGGGTCTGCACCTGATAGGTCCTGGGAGGAACAGCAGGGAAGGTGTGTGGGACACGGGGCTCAGACACACTGTGCTGCCCACGCTTCCACCGCCCTGAAGCTGTGGCTGCTCCCAGGAGCTGGAGCCATTCAGGAAGACCCAGAGCTGCCTCCACTTTTTAATTCCTTCACTAACGTCCGTGAGAATCTGGTTTGCTACTCAGCTAGAATTCATTTATTTTTCAAGGCTCCTAGCAGTACTTCCTCTCTCAAGGCCTGTCTTGCAGTTTCGACGTTGTAATGTGCCTTCATTCCCTTTTCTAGCCTCTTCCTTGAGGCAGGCACCTCAGGTCAAGTCACATGTAGTAGTGGGTCCCTGTCGGCGGGCAAGGAAGGAAGTGCAGAGAAGAGAGACTTAGTACAGGGCATTTTCTGTAGATTTCCCTTCCTTCTCTCCCTCTCCCCTTCCTTTCAGTTTCTTTCCAGCTTATATAATGTGGTTCTCATGATTCACATCTTTCCTGAGTCAGAAACCTTTTTGGATGAATATTGCGGACGCTTTCCCAAGAAAAATGCACATTTGCATTCCCATGTGCTACCCCAACTCTGTGAATGCCATCCACACGTCCCCTGGAAATCCACAGATCCTGGGTAGGAAGTCTTCTTGGTCCTAACTAATGATGGCATCAGAAGAAATGCTAGCCAACTGGCGAGTTCTCGGCAGACAGCCCAGATCAAAGAAGCCTAATGTCCTTTTAGGTTCATTTTGAATAACTTCAAACAAACTTTGAACAGCCTGGAAATGTATGGAACATTTCCAGCGTATACCAAAGTAGGGAGATTTGCATAATGAATCATCATGTACCCATAGCTTGGCTTCTGAAGTGAACGCGTCATTGTGTTTCATCTGTGTCTCCATTCAGTTGCCAAATCCCAGACGTCTTTCCATTTCATCAGTAACGACTTCAGTGCCTGTCACTAAAGATTAAGGACCTTTTAAAAATAACGTAACTGCTGTATCACACGATTATCTTCCTACTTTCAAAAATAACAATTATCCTTCAATGTAATCGAATATCCCTTCTGTTGTTTCAATTTCTGTGAGTGCCTTGCAATTCTTCTCCTATTTTAATAGTTGGTATATTTGAGCCAGGATCCAAATAAGATCCACACAGGTGCTTTTTTTTTTTAAGATTTATTTATTTATTTATTTGAGAGGTAGAGTTACAGACAGTGAGAGGGAGAGATAGAAAGTAAGGTCTTCCCATTCACTGGTTCACTCCCAAAATGGCTGCAATGGCTGGAGCTGGGCTGATTCGAAGCCAGGAGCCAAGAGCTTCTTCCGTGTCTCCCACACAGGTGCAGGGCCCAAGGATTTGGGCCATCTTCCACTGCTTTTCCAGGCCATAGTAGAGCTGGACTGAAAGAGGGGCAGCGAGGACATGAACCATTGCCGCAGGAGGAGGATTAACCTACTGCACCACAGCGCTGGTCCAGGCCCCAGTTGCATTTTTTTAAATGTCAAACCTTTTAATGTTTTGGCTAACAGTGCTCTCTCTCTCTCCATCTCTCAGCAAGACAAAGAAAGTAGATAAACAATTACTTGGTGGATATGGGCTGTAGTGAACCAATCTAAATTAAAGAAACTAACAAAGAGGTCAGTTTTCAAACAATGTTTCTGATGATTGATTCTGTGCTTGCCTTATGTTTTGTTTTTGTAGTCTTAGGGTCAAAAATCAATGATCTCTCCCTCCCCCCACCCACTTGTAATCCCACTGTGCTCTGTGCTGTGTCAGATGGCTGAGGACAGTACCAACTGTTGTGATTGAGCTCTGGCCTCTTGATTTTAAAAACCAATGGGAAGGCTGGCACCGTGTCTCACTAGGCTAATCCTCCGCCTTGCGGCGCTGGCACACCGGGTTCTAGTCCCAGTCAGGGCGCCGGATTCTGTCCCGGTTGCCCCTCTTCCAGGCCAGCTCTCTGCTGTGGCCAGGGAGTGCAGTAGAGGATGGCCCAAGTACTTGGGCCCTGCACCCCATGGGAGACCAGGATAAGTACCTGGCTCCTGCCATCGGATCAGCGCGGTGCGCTGGCCGCAGCACACCGGCCGGGGTGGCCATTGGAGGGTGAACCAACGGCAAAGGAAGACCTTTCTCTCTGTCTCTCTCTCTCACTGTCCACTCTGCCTGTCAAAACAAAAAAACAAACAAACAAAAAAAAACAACCAATGGGAAAGCCAACATGAATAACTATTTATATCCATATGTGGTTTTATGAGAAAATATTGAATATCAATCAAAGAATTCACAAAGCTAATAAACATTCATCGAAATCTATTCTTGATGTGACATTACACATCATTCTCTCCCAAAGTCCTTGGTTCACAGTAGGGTTCACTCTTGATGTTGGCCTTAGACAAATGGGTACTGACATACATCCGCCAAGATAGTATCGCTGGAGTATTTTACTGCTCTCAGAATCCTCTGTGCTCCCCCTGTTGAGCCCTCCCTCCCACCCGCGCCTGCAACTACTGAGGTTTTACTGTCTGCATAGCGTTGTCTTTTCCAGGAAGCCATGTGATTGGAATCATACAGCACGTAGCCTTTTCAGACCGGCTGCTTTCACCTAGCAGTGTGCATTTAAGGTTCTTCCGTGTCTTGATAGCATATTTCTTTTTAGCCCTGAATACCATCATCTGGTCGTATCACAGTTTACCCCGTTCACCTACTGAAGGGTATCTTGGTTCCTTTCCAGTTTTGGCAATAATGAACAAAGCTGCTATAAACACTTGTGTTTAGGTTTTTGTGGGGACATAAGTTTTCAGTTCTTTTGGGTAAATACCAAGGAGCATGACTGTTGGATTGTACGGTAAGAATGTGTTCAGTTTTGTGAGAAACTGCCGTGCTGTTTCGCATTCCCACCAGCAGTGAGTGGGAGCTCCTCCTCAGCGTTTGGTGGTGGTGGTCTGCATCTTGGCCACCCTAATATGTGTAGCCAACTGCAAAACCCTTTCGGGGCCGGTGCCGTGGCGTGGCGGGTAAAGCTGCTGCCTGCAGTGCCGGCACCCCATATGGGCGGGCACTGGTTCAAGTCCCAACTGCTCCACTTCCAATCCAGCTCTCTGCTATGGCCTGGGAAAAGCAGTAGAAGGTGCCCAGGTCCTTGGGCCCCTGCACTCACATGGGAGACCCAGAGGAAGCTCCTGTCTCCTCGCTTCAGATTGGCACAGCTCAGGCCGTTGCGGCCAATTGGGAAGTGAACCAGCGGATGGGAGACCCCCTCTCTCCCCCCTCTCCCTCCCTATTCCTCTGCCTCTCCCCCCTCTCCCCTCTCTCCCCTCTCTCCCCTCTCTCTCCCCTCTCCCCCCTCTCCCCTCTCTCTCCCCCCTCCCCTCTCTTCTCCCCTCTCTTCCCCTCTCCCCCTCCCCCCTCTCTCTCCCCCTCTCTCCCCCCTCTCTCCCCTCTCCCTCCCCTCTCTCCCTCCCCTCTCTCCCCTCTCCCTCCCCTCTCCTCCCTCTCCCTCCCCTCTCCCTCCCCTCTCCCCTCTCCTCCCCTCTCCCTCTCCCTCTCCCTCCCCTCTCCCCCTCTCTCCCCTCTCCCCTCTCCCTCTCCCCCTCTCCCCTCTCTCCCCTCTCCCCTCTCTCCCCTCTCCCCTCTCTCCCCTCTCTCCCCTCTCTCCCCCGTCTCCCCCCTCCCCTCTCTCCCCCCCTCTCCCCTCTCTCCCCTCTCCCCCTCTCTCCCCTCTCTCCCCTCTCTCCCCCGTCTCCCCCCTCCCCTCTCTCCCCCCCTCTCCCCCCTCTCCCCTCTCTCCCCCCTCTCTCCTCTTTCCCCCTTTCTCTCCCCTCTCCCCTCTCCCCTCTCTCCCCCTCTCCCCTCTCCCCCTCTCCCCTCTCCCTCTCCCCCTCTCCCCCCTCTCCCCTCTCCCCTCCTCCCCTCTCTCCCCTCTCTCCCCTCTCTCCCCCGTCTCCCCCCTCCCTCTCTCTCCCCCCCCTCCCCTCTCTCCCCCCTCTCTCCCCTCTCCCCTCTCTCCCCCGTCTCCCCCCTCCCCTCTCTCCCCCCCTCTCCCCTCTCCCCCCTCTCTCCCCTCTCCCCCTCTCTCCCCTCTCTCCCCTCTCTCCCTCCCCCGCTCCCCCCCTCCCCTCTCCCCCCTCTCTCCCCTCTCCCCCTCTCTCCCCTCTCTCCCCTCTCTCCCCCGTCTCCCCCCCCCCCTCTCTCCCCCCTCTCCCCTCTCTCCCCCCTCTCTCCCCTCTCCCCTCTCTCTCCCTCCCCCTCTCTCCCCCCTCCCCCTCTCCCCCCCCCCCTCTCCCCTCTCTCCCCTCTCTCCCCCTCTCCCCCTCCCCCCCTCTCCCCCCGCTCTCCCCCTCTCCCCCTCTCTCTTCCCCTCCTCCCCTCTCCCCCCCTCTCTCCCCCCCCTCTCCCCCTCTCCCCCCTCTCCTCCCCTCTCCCTCCTCTCCCCCTCCCCTCTCTCCCCCCTCGCCCCCTCCCCCTCTCCCCTCTCCCCCTCTCTCCCCCCTCCCCTCTCTCCCCTCTCCCCCTCTCCCCCCTGCCCCCCTCCCCCCCTCTCCCCTCTCTCCCCCCTCTCCCCCTCTCCCCTCTCTCCCCCTCCCTCCTCCCCCCGCCCCTCTCCCCCCTCTCTCCCCCCCTCCCCTCTCTCCCCCTCTCCCCTCCTCCCCTCTCCCCCCCTCTCTCCCTCTCCCCCTCTCTCCCCTCTCCCCTCTCTCCCCTCCTCTCCCCTCTCCCCCCCTCTCCCCTCCTCCCCCCTCTCCGCCCCTCCCCCCTCCCCCTCTCCTCCCCTCCCCTCTCTCCCCCCCCCCCTCCCCTCTCTCCCCCTCGCTCCCCCTCTCCCCCGTCTCCCCCTCTCCTCCCCCTCCTCCCCTCTCTCCCCCTTCTCCCCCCTCCCCTCTCTCTCCCCCTCTCTCCCCTCTCTCTCCCCCCTCTCTCCCCGCTCCCCTCTCTCTCCCCCTCCTCTCCCCTCTCTCCCCCGTCTCCCCCCTCCCCTCTCTCCCCCCTCTCTCCCCTCTCTCCCCCGCTCTCTCCCCTCTCTCCCCTCTCTCCCCTCTCTCCCCTCTCTCCCCCTCTCTCCCCCTCTCCCCTCTCCCCCTCTCTCCCCCCTCTCCCCCCTCTCCCCCCTCTCCCCTCTCTCTCCCCCGCTCCCCTCGGCTCCCCCTCTCCTCCCCTCTCCCCCCCTCTCATCCCCTCTCTCCCCGTCCTCCCCTCTCTCCCCCCTCTCTCCCCGCCTCTCTCCCCTCTCTCCCCTCTCTCCCCTCTCTCCCCTCTCTCCCCCTCTCTTCCCCTCTCCCCTCTCTCTCCCCTCTCCCCTCTCTCTCCTCCCCTCTCCCCCTCTCCCCCCTCCTCCCCTCTCTCCCCCTCTCTCCCCTCTCTCCCCTCTCTCCCCCTCTCCCCCTCTCCCCTCTCATCCCCCCTCTCCTCCCCTCTCTCCCCTCTCTCCCCTCTCTCCCCCTCTCTCCCCTCTCTCCCTCTCTCCGTCCCCCTCTCCCCTCTCTCCCTCTCTCCCCTCTTTCCCCTCTCTCCCCTCTCTCCCCTCTCTCCCCTCTCTCCCCTCTCTCCTTCTCTACCTCTCCCCCTCTCCCTCCCTCTCCCTCCCTCTTCCTCTCCCTCTCCTTCTCTCTGTGTAACTCTGACTTTCAAATAAATAAAATACAATCGTTTTTTAAAAAACCTTTCAGTTGATTTGTTTGAATCAGGATCCAAATGAAATCCACATATTGCATCTGGTTCATTGTCTCTTTTAACCTAACTGTTGAAAATGGTATTTTAAGAGCTTACAACTTAGATGTTGAGGATACTTGCTGTTACTGGTTGGTCACTTTTTTCTAGGTCTTTTGTGTGGACAGAATCTGAATTTTGTTGATTATATTTCCCTGGGAATGTTTTTTGTGGAACTCTGTTTCATTGTATTTTCAGTAAATTGGTACTTGGATTTAGAAACTTGATTAGATTGGAGATGATTTATTTGGTAAGATTACCTCATGTGTGATGATGTGGGTCTCCCACGAGGAGGTATATGATGTTCAGTTGTCTTTTTTTTTTTTTTTTGAAGATTTATTTTTTATTTGAAAGACAGAGTTACAATGAGGCAGAGGCAGAGAGGGAGAAGGAGAGGGAGAAAAAGAGAGAGAGAGAGAGAGAGGTCTTCTTCCGCTGATTCACTCCCAGTTGGCTGCAACTGCCAGAGCTGTGCAGATCCAAAGCCAGGAGCCAGGAGCTTCTTCCAGGTCTCCCACGTGGGTGCAGAGGCCCAAGGACTTGGACCATCTTCTACTGCTTTCTCAGGCCATAGCAGAGAGCTGGATCGGAAGTGAAGCAGCCGGGACATAACCTTAACGGGCACTGCAGGTGACGGCTTTACCCATTATGCCACAGCGCTGGCCCCTGGTAGTCTTTTTTGTGATGTTAGCAAAACTATTAAAAATCATTACAATCTGCTAGGGCTTGCAAAATGGTGAGGTTCTATCATTCGTTTTTTATTTCTCCTCTTCCGTAATGAGAAACTTCCCTCATCTGGTCTATGGAACTACTCTGCGGTATAATTTAAGCTGGAAAGCCGAGGTAAATTATTTCCCAGTTTCCACACTAATGAGTTGGTTTATTTACATTATCCTCCAATGGTGATCAGTAATATTTTTTTAAGTAATGTTGTGAACTCCTGAATCTAAACATATTTGATATATCGCGTCTGTTGCTGATATCATCATTATTTTCCTATTTTTGGCAAGGTCACTCTTTAAGTTTGCTCCTGAGTCCTTTTTAAATTTTTACTAATTTTCCTTTTATTTGAAAGGCAGACAGAGAGACAGATGGAGAGAGATCTTATATCCACCTGTTCACTCCTACAATAGCCAGGGTTGGCCAGACTGAAGGAAGGGCCCCGAACTCCAGCCAAGTCTCCTATGTGGATGGCAGGGATCCAGATGTTCTCTGAGTCTCAGGTTGATGGCTGGCTACTCTATTTGCATCTCAAAGTTACTGTGAAGTTCAAATTTCAAAGTACACATAAACCATTGTGTGCTGCCCCCCCCCCCCAAGTAACTCTAACGGTCTGATATATAAGGACCTACTCTGACTGCTTATTTGTGTTTAAACAGAGAGCAGATGAAGAGGCTGTGGTGGATCAGGGCGGCACCAGTACCATTCTTAACATTCACTATGAGAAGGAAGAGTTGGAAGGTAAGAACCGCTGAGGGATCAGAGGATGGGCGAGACGCAGCTGGTGTGGGAAACAGACCTGGCTCTGCTGCCAGGACACTGGACTGGAGTGCTAACTCTTTCTCTCTAGCTTATGACCCTGAGGGAGAAGCATTTAAATTCCATTAGCCTCAGGGCCCTCATCTGGTCAGTAAACTGGGGCTGTATCTCCAGTGCTGGCTGACAGCACGGTCACTGGGATGTAATTGCAGCACCTGACACGGTGCCTTGAGAAGCTCAATGTCGTCTGTATCAATGTTAAGAAATAATCTGTTCCTCGGGAATGCGAAGCACTTGACCCTTGACAACTGGGTGGAAAATAAATGCGCACAGAACATGTAAACAGACAGCAGCAGTAAAAGCAGAGAGTTGTAGCATCTCAGGTTGGCTGTAAAACCATTGTGTCCCATTTCCAACACTAGCGTTCTCTGTCCTAACTATTCCAGTTTCCTGCTGGTGTTCTCATCTAAACAAGAAAAGGGGAAACAGAAGCTCACCTTTAGGAGTTCACAACACAAATTCTGTGAAACCCTAGTGTCGCTCCCCCTCTTCGCGGAGGAACGACACAGGACCCTGCGCTGTTCTTTCGTCTGCTCGGCCCTCCCCGGGTTTGCTGCTGGTTCTTCCCGGGTTGGCTACTATCCCTTCCACCTCCGTGGAAGGGCGGTTCCCCCTGCCACTTTCCCCACTTCCGCGGGGGAGCGGCACACCGCCGGCCGGCTCTCTCGGGGGCTGCTCAGATGTTCCTCAGGTGTTCCCCTTAGATGTTCCCGGTGCATGCCGTCTCTCTCCTCCTTTATAGTCCTCTTCCGCCAATCCCAACTCTGCTACCCACACGCCGAGTACACTGCTCTCCTCCAATCAGGAGCAGGATCAGCTCCTGCAGGTCATCACTCAAGTTGGCGAGAGGCAGCTGCGTAGAAGTTGTTACTCCCTTCTCAGCACCATATTGTGGGAGAGCAGATGCATAGAATAAGTCTTAATTCCAGTAACAGTCTAGTCCGAGTTGCTCCCCACACCCTAGGAAGGGAAGGGATGGAAGAAGCACTTTGTTGTCAGGCTCTGTCTGGTTTATCCTCCTAATGCCTGTCTTCCTTTCTCTGCTCCCCACCGAGAACTGCCACCTCCCTCCAGCCAGTGTGTGGCATCCTGCTTCCCCTTTTCCCAGGGGGCCTACTTGGATCCATACCTAGCCGTGGCTTCCTGACTAGTGGCGATGCTCAGTTTCATTAGGGAAGGCGCATGCCCAGCCCAGCCTTGGTCCCGTGCCTGTTAAGTCCCTGCAGCATCCCCTGCGTGGCTGAAGGCCATGATGCAGCGACGTTCTGGTGCTGAGACGGCGGGTGAGACCCTCTCTCTGTAACGCGTGTTCTGGGACGGGTTTTTCATCCACGCTGCGCAACCCCCAGAGAGCACTTGTCCTTTGGATGGGGTGAGGCTGTAAGGCTGACTCAGCCTCTCTGTTACCATGAGAACTTATGTGGGTGGCTCAGCGGAGGGCAGTGGTGTTTGGGTGTGCCAAGGTTAAGTTGTCCAGGTTATTTTGAGCTGATGGGGGAACAGCAGTGAGGGCAGGGGCGTGTGGCCTGGGAGGCTTCCATTTGCTCAGTGCCCTCTGTTAGGCGTTAGATGAGGCACCTATGCAAGCTGTCGTCTTCATCTTCATGGCACCCCAGGCAGGTAGGTGTCATCGCTGGTCTGCGTGTGGACAGCCCAGCAGCTGGTGCATCGGGACTAACCTCCTATTCTGTACTCATATCTTGTTCCATCACATCAATATTTTCTTTGTCTTTTTGAAGATTAATTCAAGTGCTTTAAAAATTATTTACTTATTTGAAAGGCAGGGATACAGAGAGATCTTCTACTGCCCATTCACTCCCCAAATGCCAGCAACAGCTGGAGCTGGGCCAGGCTGAAGCCAGGAGCCAGAAATTCAGCCCGAGTCTCCCACATGGGTGGCAGGGCCCCAGCTGCGTCAGACATCGCTGCTTACTCCTAGGGTGTACATTAGCAGGAAGCTGGAATTGGGAGCAGAGCCAGGACTTGAACCCAGACATTCTGAAATGGGACGCAGACATCTTAACCACTGCACCAAAAGTCACTCCCCCATAAACGTTTTAATCTGTTGCTCCCTTCATTCTGTCTTGATAATCCCGTTGTCTCTCTACCTCTCACTGCACCTCGGAGGTCCACGTGAAAACCCACTGGGCCTTTGCTCCCAGCAAGGAAGCAACCATTTATGAGCACTCTTGTCTGCTTGGGAGTAGAATAATAAGCTGGGGCAGGTGCTTATGGATCCTGAGGACACACTTCCGTCCACAGTGGTCAGCGAGTCTTTGGCAGCGGGAGCAGCTTCTGCAGGTGACACAGCCTGTCCCTGACACATGCTCTACCTTGCTGAGAGCCACCCAGGGTGATGGCGTTATGGCAGGATCATTGTTGGGAAGCAGTCCTTTATTCATGGAGCTTTCTGAAAGCCAGAATCTTAGTTCTCTTTACACCTTGAAGATGAGTGCTGTGCGCAGTTGGAGGACACGTGCCCACTCTGGAGAGGAGAAGAAGAGTGGGATTTGCTGTGGGGCAGCCCAGGATCAGTGAGGCTGCACTCAAGGTGCTCTTGTGTCTTGAAGGTGGAGGTTAAGGTCAGGCCCTTGTGTTCTGATTCAGCATTCATGCCATGGCAGAAGGTTCTGGGCCTGTGGAGAAACCTCTGGGCCTGCAGAACCTTCCCTTTTTCTATACCTGGACCCACATGGCCATCCCTTCCCTTACCCCATTTCCAGACCTGCTTCTGAGATCTAGTCTCTGGATATTGTTAGAAACTTTGTGAATAGGGCCGGCGCCGCGGCTCACTAGGCTAATCCTCTGCCTGCAGCACCGGCACACCGGGTTCTAGTCCCGGTCAGGGCGCCGGATTCTGTCCCGGTTGCCCCTCTTCCAGGCCAGCTCTCTGCTGTGGCCAGGGAGTGCAGTGGAGGATGGCCCAGGTCCTTGGGCCCTGCACCCCATGGGAGACCAGGAGAAGCACCTGGCTTCTGGCTTCAGATCAGCATGGTGCACCAGCCGCAGCATGCCGGCTGCAGTGGCCATTGGAGGGTGAACCAACGGCAAAGGAAGACCTTTCTCTCTGTCTCTCTCTCTCACTATCCACTCTGCCTGTCAAAAAAACAAACAAACAAACAAACAAAAAAACCGAAAAAACCCAAAACTTTGTGAATAGGAGACTTTTTTTTGTATAAGTTAATCTTATCAGTAAGGGAGGGTACATTAAAACGTGACATTACTTTTTTTTTTTTAATGTAAGGGAAAAACTCAAAAGTGGACGTTACCACAGCTTTCCAAAGATAAACTCAAGAGAAGTCACAGCCTGTGACATGCTTCCGTGAGCTCACAGCCCCAGGGGACTCAGGACAGTTGTTTCAGTTGGAGGAATGGCTTTTTCTATATTTTCTGGAGATCATTATACCTGATTAACTACTAGATTTCTGATTCCTGCAGTAAGCTTAATGCCTTCTAATAAGGTTTTTTTTTAAGATTTATTTATTTATTTATTTATTTGAAAGAGTTATAAAGAGGCAGAGGCAGAGAGAGAGAGAGAGAGAGAGAGAGAGAGAGAGATCCTCTATCCACTGGTTCACGCCAATCTGAAGCCAGGAGCCAGGAGCTTCTTCCGGGTCTCCCACACAGGTGCAGGGGCCCAAGGAGTTGGGCCATCTTCTGCTTTCCCCGCTATGCCACAGTGCCGGCCCCAATCTAATAAGGTTTTAAACAGAGGCCAGAGCCAGTTGACCATTTTACAACTAAAAAAAAAAAAAGAAGAAGAAGAAGAAGAACGACGACTGCCTCTGTTGCACATGTTAGAGTCCCACTGTGGTTACTGACTTTGAGTCAACCTGTAAGCTCCCGGCAGCATCCTGCCCTCTGCTACAGACTAATGAGCTCTGAGAGAGTGCCTGGTAAACAGCACGTGTGTAGTGCACTGTGCACTGACGCCCCAGTCACCGTGCGTTCTGTTCTGCTTGGCAAGGGTCAGTACCAGTTCACTCCTAATGACTGTTCTCTGGATGGGTATATATACTTATTTTAAAAAATATATACCATGGGGCCGGTGCTGTGGCGTAGCAGGTAAAGCCTCCGCCTGCAGTGCCGGCATTCCATATGGTTGCCGGTTCGAGTCCTGCTTCTCCACTTTCGATCCAGCTCTCTGCTATGACCTGGGAAAGTAGTAGATGGCCCATGTGCTTGGGCCCCTCCACCCACATGGGAGACCTGGAGGAAGCTCCTGGCTCCTGGCTTTGGATTGGCACAGCTCTGGCTGTTGTGCCCATCTGGGGAGTGAACGAGTGGATGGAAGTCCTCTCTCTGCCTCTCCTTCTCTCTCTGTGTAACTCTGACTTTCAAGTAAATAAATAAAATATATATATATTGTATATATACACCTACATTCCATCTCTCTCATAATTTTTACTAAATTAGAATACTTTACTTACACACAGCCCCAGAAGACTAGGTGTGACACGGACTGCAAACATAAATGGGTAGTGAGAGGGGAGAAATGACGTTTGGGTACATTGTAGGTTAGGAGACTCTGGAAGGAGAGCAGTGACTGGCTGGCACAGTGACCGCAGGGTCAGTTCTGTGAGGTCACAGGACTACCCGAACCAGATGATGCACTGCATTTTCTGGTGCTATGTGCATCTCCTGGTGTCCGTCGCTCATTTCTCAGAAGACCCAAATTCCTGCTCCGGAGCCCTGGTCTAGACATCCCGGCCTGATTTCTTCTCGGGAGAAAGCACCTTCCTTCTCCAAGACTCGAGCTTTCCCTGCAGCAGCAGCACAGGCTTCTGCGGGCTGGCTCCCCAGCCATGCCTCAGAGCTGCCTCGGGAGTTTAGAAATCAAGCAGAGGCATACGTTATCCCTTGCCAAACATTTGCTGAGCGCCTCTGAGCAAGGAGTAAGGACAGCTGCAAGAATGGAACCA